TGCAGACGGAGAGGATGATGGGTGATAAACAGGGTGTTTATTGAATAACAAGTGATGAGAATGATGGAAATTACGGTGGGTGACGAGAACACAGGAGGGAATGGAGACATTGTGGAAGGACGAGACGCTGAAGACAGTCCACAATGTGAAAACGACACCAGAAAATGAGCTGGGGTGAGGTGTCTGAATTTTTAGAGGCAGTGATGAGGGTGATGATGAGGTGCAGGTGTGAGTGATTGGGTGGGAACCAAAGAGTGATGGGAGATGTAGTGCAGATCTGTGACAGTGACTACGTTTACATGCAGACAATTTTCGGGTTATGGTCGGGTTAAGGTCACAATTCGGGTTTCTAAAACATTAGAAATAACCCGTTTACATGCATGAGCAGAGAGAGTTTCTCCTGTATACATGAAATTGCAATATCCTGTATACATGGAATTGCAATATCCCGATGTAAACGGCAACGCACGGTTAGCGTCTGGACGTACAGACAACCTTAAGACGCAATATACGTCATTTCCGATACTTCTTCCTGTATCCAAAGACAACAACAGCAGCATGTGGATAATGAATAGTTCGGGGCAGATAACGATCACCTTTGTTTGCGCTTTGATGCTGGTAACGTTGCTGTGCTGCTTCTCGCCACCGAGAAGTTTCTCTACTCAAAAGACCAAAAATTTGGGTTAGAAAAGGGGTACCCCAGGTATAATATCCCGGTTTTTAAAATCCAGGATATGAGCATGTTTTTGCCGGTGTTTACATGGCCGTTCGCCACCGGGTTATTGCTAATATCCCGGTTTTGAACGGGTTATTGGCTGCATGTAAACATAGTCCGTAATATATTGTTTCTGTTTATTGATCGCCATTGGAGTGTACTTGAGACATACACCAGGTTCACTGTATATATTTAACTTCAAAAGCATGCTGATAGGGGTGCACCGATATAAAAATTTTGGCTAATACAGATAACCAATAATTCTTTATATTTGAAAGCCGATATATTGACCAATAAATCTAAATCCGAATTTACTGTATATAATTTTTGAGAGCCTGATTACAAAAACAAAAGTCTCATCAGTAAGAGTCATCATGTCCCAGGCACACAACAATAATGTTCAAATTTTATTTAGCTCAAATGACAGATTTGCACTAAACATGTTGCACTGAACTCTATTTTCCTTTTTTTGCATATTTCAAATTTTAAACAATTTAAAACCATCATTTTTTTTTATTTAATCAGTTTAAAGTTACAGGGACCATGCACATTAATAAACGCTTGCGTAAATGTGCCAGTTTAGCCATCTTGGCTAATTTTCAACTGTAGTCACTGGGCAGATGTAATAACCGATAAAATACATTCAAACTATCAACAATACTTATACATACATAGAAGCTCATAAAATACATTCAACAAGAACAACAAATCAAAACATGATTAGACATGGCAAACAGTGCGTATCTAAAGTGTCTCAGTTGAAGGAATTAATCCATTATTTATTTTATTTAAAGCTGCAGTCTGGCGTTTTTCCTCTTTGTCGACATCTTTGTTCGAAATCTGCAATTGCATTCATTTGCGGAATTATCAATTTTTTGCGAGTTGTACTTCGACACAGTGCAGCGCAGATGAACAATGTTCGAGGAGATGTGAGGCTGTCAGTCACCGCGCCAGTATAGATACTGGTATTCAGAATCACAGATGAAAGTATAACCAACATAATAATTTTCACTACAAAATGTCATCTGAACAAGTAAGAAACATCCACTTTTGTTCTGGTTCTGACATTGCAGTCCTTTATGTGTACTTGTGTGACAATGACACAAAGACATGCTTGAATCGCCTGCGGAAATCCACCAGTACCACTGGAATTAAAAACAGTATTACAAGCTTACCGCTTTGAATCGAGCTAGGGCAAGCAGATCGTTTTTAAACACTGGTTATGTATTTTCTCAAATATGTATTTTGGATATTTTTTAACAAAAAAAAGCTACAGACTGCAGCTTTAATATACCGGCCACATTTTTTTTGGGCTGATATATTACAATAACATTAAACATTAACATATATTGGCCGATACCTATACGGTGGCTGATATATTGTGCATCCCTAAATGCTGGTACTCTTTACTGCATCAATGAAAATCATAATACAATCAAATATACTTATAAAAATGCAGGATCATAAAAAAGGGTGATATTTGCTGGGCTGTAAATAAACACCAATTCTACACTCCTTCTGTATGTTCCCAAGCACTTTTCAAAACCTCTTATAAAGACTAATAAAATGCTTAAGTAATAGGGGTGGCACGGTACATGAAAAAACACCCGAACCGTTCGGTTCGCTTGTCTCGGTTCGGAGCGCGTGTGCGTCTCACGGTTCGACGCATGCGCAATGTAACCTCGTGCCCGTATGTGACGTGTTTTCTTTTCGCGCGACATAAACTTGTTCGACTTGGACCGGCGCTGCACAGAGCGATCGGTGAATAACATCAATCTAGCGCGAGTCGGCTCCGTATGCATTCATCACTTTCGCGGTATTTGATGTCATTACCGATCGCTCTGTCTGTGCAGCGCCGGTTCAAGTTAATAAACAAGCCAGTAAAAGTGGAGTATGGAGCGCTGCAGGTCACGGCACGCGGAGAAATGGCAAGTGGGAGAGATGAGGGAGTTGGAGGACGCGCCAGCGTCGTATAAGTCTATGGTATAAGTCCGGTGTGTGGGAACATTTTGGATTTCATGTTATGATATTTTAATTTAACTACAGTGGCACTTTATGTTTAGATAAGAGCTTCAGTCATACGTTTCCAAACCCTGCACTTTAATTTTAAGTGGAAAAAAGTACCCTCACATTTTGGGAATAGAAGCATTGTTGATACTGTTTTTGTGTTGAGTTTGAACTTAAATTTCACTTTATGTTTATGGCCTTTGCTATTGCTATAGCTTAATTATCTATAGGCAATGAGATTTCATGTATATTGACATTTAAAAGACAGTGTTTTAAGAGTTGCTCTCTTTTTCTTTTAAAAGATAGAATTTTGGTAAGAGCTACAAAAGTTAGCAGTTGATACATGAAAGTTAATTTCTTTGTGTAAATAAGATTTATGTGATAAAAATGCACAAGTTCTTGTATGATAGTGATACACATTCTCCTTTTTTTTGCCAAATAAACAAAAAGCATGTCAATTTCTTCTCTCTTGCTGTATCTAAATCTCACCTAGCTTTCCTCTGAGATAGTCCCAAAATGTGCTTAAAGTCAAAGAGTCAAATTCAGTTTGTGCATGATTGCATGAATATAATATATTTGTAATACTGTATCCTAAAGTGTGGATAATTAAGCTATATATCACATGCTGAAGTACATTTCTGGAGTGTTAAAGATTAAAAGAAAAAATAACAAGAACCGTACAGAACCGAAAACCGTGACCCTAAAACCGTGATACAAACCGAACCGTGGGTTTTGTGAACCGTGCCACCCCTATTAAGTAATAAGTCAGACATGTAAAGTGGCGGTTAAATACGAATGTTTTCTCTAATAAACGTGGATACCAGAGCTCGGATTCAATATACTTTGGAGTTTGTTTGAAGTGAGACAGTAAGAGAGACCAAAACTCTCCTCCACAAATCTGGGTCTCCACACAAAATTACAGTTCCTACTGCATGTCTTTTCACATTAGGAGCATGACAGTATTTTTCATGTAATGCCTGTGGAGGTTTGCAAAATTTAAGCCAAAATCATCAAAAAGATTTTAGCTTTTTAGCAGCTTTTAGCAAGTTACCCTGCTGTCTGAAATGCACTGTGGGAAGCCATTTTCCACCGGATAATAAATCAGTAATGCACCGAAATCAATCTTTTTTAAAAGACACAGAAAAAAACCAAGTCGAATTATTAATTTAGCCGAAAAAGAAAACCGAAAATAAAATTTCTGTAATTACATTTTGGGTAATTTAACTTTTCAGCGTGTGTTCACAGGTGATAAACCAGTAGTGGTAAAAATCTTCAGCAATGAGCATGCCTTTCATTTCAGCCGAACAAATTTTACACATTGCTACCATTTTTGCAGATGAAGTCCTTAACACTGTGTGCACTCTGACACAGTCAAAACAGATCAGAGTAAACAGTTTCTAGATAGTTGGGATTTATTTTTATTTTTTTGCCGTTTTGCTCAAATAATTTCAGTTGCTGTAATTTTCGGAGCATTAGCGAAATTGTACTAGTTCTTATACCTGTGCTTGATATGACAGTCGGAAGTTAGTTCGTGAATTAGATTCATTTAAATCAATTCACACACATATGGCATTTGTAAATAAAATCATTTTTGACGGACAGAGAAAAGAAGATGGTCACTCAAGACCAAAAGGTTTTAAGGCTCCATAGAAACCAATTTCTCTGGTCCAAAACCAACTATTATGTTGAAATGCATGGAATGGTTGTAGATTGGCCATTGGCTCAGTCACTATCACCAGGCACCCATTTGGGGGAGGGAGCTATATCGTTGAGTCCTCATGGGATAATTTAACTGAATTACATTCTCTCACAAAACAAAACCAGAATGACGATGTTACACTGAACAGCAAACTATCTTCTTGTCGTACTCCATGCCTGTCTGGGCAAATACATTATGTTCCCATCTGGGCCAGTTCAGGTTACAGCTCTGTTGACGAGTGGCCATATAACTCACAGTTCAGTGACCACAGGGAAACACTGCAATACAGCTAAGCTGCTATTCCTCACAGCACAGATCAGAGGACATGCACACAGAACCTTCTATGAGCAATCACAGAAAATGTCCAGAAAGCAGGCTAACAGTGTGGGAGCTGTATTTACTAGTTATTACTACCGTCATTGTGTCCTTGAACAAAGCACTCAACCTCTGGTGGCTGCAGAGGGATTGTCCCTATAATAAGTACACTTTGGATAAAATTCCTAACATCAAACAAACAAAAAGGCAGAGAGAGATTTCTATATACAAGCAGACAGGATGTAGACATAAACCTGGTCTCACCTCGTAATGTGCCACTCTCTGAGACTCTGAGATGAGCTGAGCGCTGCACACTTTGCAGTAACTGTCTGTGAAAAGGCCTTGATCCACCTCTGTTGACTTCATCTAGACAAAAAAAAAATATATATATATATTTTCATATTGTTATATTGAAGCACTTTATTATACATATTACATACACTCTCATCACTATAGGCACAAATAAATTTGAATACTATAGAAGTTGAACTGAAACCACTGTACAGCTATTATAGACGTACTTTAGGGAAAAACGGTGTACTGTCAAGAAAATGAGTCACATGAATTATTCATGAAGACATGTTGTTTCTGTCACTTGAATTATTTCGGCATGCATCACATATTAAAACACAGAGCAAGCACAAGGTCATGACACGTCTCTATTGGAGCTGCTTTTCACTCCCAGAACGGATGTTAAACAGACTGCGGTTTTAGAGCAACAGATAAAAACCTTCATATGATTTTCAGGTGATGAAATATGCATTTTAAAAGGCAATCGAATGCAAAAAAAAAAAAAAAAAAAACAGAAAAATAAAAACGTGATCAAATAAAATTAATAAAAATTTAAAATTTATTTTAAACCTCAATACCATGTGCTTTGCAGAAGATAAGTGAACAAGTCAAGGGCTTAACATTCCCATATTAGTTAGCAGCCATAAAGAGCTAAAGAAACAGTAAGAAACAAGCCTGCCCTGGATGCCAGCCAAACTTAGCCCTGCCCAGTGCCCACAACATTTGAGGATGGCAAGTTCAGTCTGGACTTGATCCATTGTGAAGCAAACATTCCCAAAACAAAGCTGTTCGGACCAATCAAATTGTCAGGGCGGGCTTTATACAATGATGGACAGATGATCAACCATAACGCAATCATCCACATCACCAAAGAGCGCTTGGGTTGAATTCGTTAACAACAAAGGTGGCTGCTGCTGGGGAATTTAGATGTGTGGATTCAACCATCTTCTGTTATAGATGTAGACAGCACATTCATTTTAAAAGAGGAACAGAAAGCCATGATCAAGGCATTTGTCGATCCAACTAAGTGCCGAGGCATTTTCTTTCCTGGTTCGTTTGAAACACGTCCCATTATCACAGCCCAATGAAGCAGTATCAGAATCACACATTCTGACTAGAATCTGAGTATGATGATGTCAGACTAAGAAATCCTTCTTCCCTAAATAGCACAACTTTTTTGATTCTAGGCTATACATTAGGTAATATGTTATTTGTGTGTGTCCTGGATAATGAAAGAACTGATCACTCTGTAGTTGTGCTTTGCACAATTTGCCTCATGGATGAATTAGAAAGTCTTTATTACTACCAATTACTAAACTGGACACGAAAGAAGGTTCTTCTCAATTCGCAGGCTGTGAATATCTAGGCTGCCACATCACAAAGCTCCGTCTCGATTTGACGGATTCTTGGAAGGCAGTCTTCACTTTGCGTCCTTCGTTTGGATTATTTTGAAGAGTGCATCAAGTTTATACTTCGAATCCTTTGCACACATTCCAATTTACACAAAGAATTAGCTGAAAGCTTAGATTAGCTGGTCCAATTTCATTATGTACTGCAATAAAATAAATCTGAGAGAAAGGTATTGTTTTCTTTTGCTTTTTGTTTGTAATTAATCACTCAATGTTAGCTCATAATGTAAACGATTGGAAGACCAGACAGTTGTCATTCACTACATCTTCATTAATAAAGTCGGGGGTTAATATAAAAATCATTAATATTTTTCCACAATTCATTTTAAAGGGTTAGTTCACCCAAAAATTAAAATTCTGTCAGTATTTACTCACCCTCATTTTGTTCCAAACCTCTATGTGTTTATTTGTTCTGCTGAACACAAAGGAAGATATTTGGAAGTATGTTTTAATCAAACAGATCTCATTCCCCATTGACTACCATACTGTAGTATGTATTTTTTCCTACTATGGTAGTCAATGGGGAATGAGATCTGTTTGATTAAAACATTCTTCCAAATATCTTCCTTTGTGTATAGCAGAACAAATAGAGGTTTGGAACAACATGAGGGTGAGTAAATACTGACAGAATTTTCATTTTTGGGTGAACTAACCCTTTAAAATATAGAAGGTCTAGATATAGAACTCTGTCAATGTCTGTCAAGATGCTCCAATAACATGTTTCAAATCAGAAAAACAGATTTTTTTTTCTTAAGCTCAAAATACCAACAAAAAAAAACATGGAACAGGGGTTGCCTTAGTGTTGCTGGTCCCTCTCTTGTAGCCTTGCTCTTTGCATTTTTTTTTTTTTTTTGTGCAGCAGCTCTTGTTGGAAGCCAGATTAAGACACTGAGATCTCAACATTTTTAGCATGACCTGATTTGCAAATGCTAATTACTGCAACTTCTCAAAAACAGAATAAATAAACATACGGAATGGCTTCTAAATGGAGTCAGTTTGTTACACTAATTCATGCATACATATTACATATCACTCCATTACAGTATTCAAGATATTCAAATGAACTTATTATAATTTTTCCATCAGTGGCTCAAATCTATCCCGTGCAGGGTGCCGCTAATCTAGATATTTTCTAAAACTGCATCAGATTTAGAGCTCAAGGTAAAATAGTGCTCAGTTGCACTCTCAACTCTTAATTTCAGTTTCTGATATGACACTGTTCTCATAAATTGTCATTTACTTTGCTATTGCAACTTGTGACGCATCTACAAAAACATGCAATAGCATTCAGGACACCATGGTCTTTCAGCCTCCTTTTGTTTGTGTCCTCAGTTTACCCATCATCAGAGAAAAGGCAACCTTCTCTGACAAACTGAATACAAGAAAAAAAAGTTTGCACAGTTGTGTCTGAAGTAGCTCTGGGCAACAGGTAGGATTCCTTTTCCAGCAGCATAAGTTTACAGATAAGAGAATAAAAATATAAAAGATAACTCAAGCTGCAACAGAACAGGGGAGGAAGGGACAGAGAGAATTAAAGGAGAAGAAATAGAAAGAGGGTGTGGGGGGGGAGAAGAGCTCACTCTCCCGCTCTGAGGAAACTGCATAAATTTAGCAGAACAAAATAGGCAAAATGCTATCACTGGAACCCAAGCACCATTGCTCTGACGCACACATCTAAGAAACAATTGCATTATTAATCAGTCTGAGGCCTGCTTATAGTGAGAGAGATGGGGCAGACAAAGTTGAGGAGGTTTCTCCCTCATTTAAAGGTGCAATGTGTAACAAAGTTGAGTATCTATTAACAGAAATGCAATATGACATCCATAACTATGTTTTCAGTGGTGTAAAAAGAACTTACTTAATTAGCCGTAATGTTTTTATTACCTTAGAATGAGACATTAATAGCTCCATAACCGAGGGAATCCCCTTCTATGAAGGTCGCCATGTTGTGACGTCATATTCCTACCGTAGCCGAACGCGAACAAACAGCGCTACAGAACGCGTTTCATCACTACCTTGAAAGAGAAGTAGCGGAAAGCTGGAAGCTAGCCTTACACTCCGTGAGTAGTGACTTTTCCCTTGTGAGTGGTGTAAAATATGTAGTTGGGATTGTTTCATGTAACTTAGTTCTCCCTCCCTGTGTTATGGGTTTGTTATGTTGGGGATAGATGTGCTGTTACGTTCGTGAGACAGCTGATTAGTATTCATGTCATTGACCGTAAAACAGTACGTTACAGGAATCACTAACCCGTCGATAGATACTTTTACTAAAGTCTTTTATCACTAAAGTCGATCGCGAAGAATTTTAAAAATCAGAGAAAAAAAGCCTATTGTGTGTAGTAAATAGTATCTATGGGATGCGGAGATGACATGATTGTAACAGCGCGCACTTCCGACCTTTGGACTCATGCCGACGCGTCCCAGCTCAGCCACAGTAACAGCTCATATTAGCCAGCTAAACTATTACTACCCTGTTAGAAAAAATATATAGCTGCTCCCTCGCTGTATTATGGGTTTGCTACAGTATGTGGGGAGAAATGTGCTGCTGGTTACATTTGTGAGACAATCAGCTGATTATTATTTTATTAAATTATTAAAACCCTTGATCCTCACCTGACTATGGCTTTGTAAACAGACAGTATTCATGATGTGGTTTATAATGGACTGTGGTACAGAAACAGTGACAATGTTACACACTCTTGGCTTACTCTGGCTATTCTCTGCTGTCTCAGCCGACGAGATGTTTGTCCCGTTTTAGCAACCGTAGCTTCTTCGAAAGGGAGGGGTGAGCAGTGGGCTGAGCCCTTAGTGCAAACCTGGTGCAAACTCGCAACCGAACCACTAGATGTCGCTAAAAGTCACACATTGCTCCTTTAAACAGTAAAAGTTTTCATTATTGCCATGTGAATGTGATTAAAAGACAACATAATGCAAATGTACCCCACTTCCTTACGTAAAGTCTTATTTTTGCATGATTCATCAGTGCATGTTTTTTTCAAAAGTTTTTCCATAATTTTCAAATCAAAAACTTTCTTTGCCTCTGCTGCGGTCAAATGGATCACAAAAACAAGCAAAAAGCACTACTCAAATAAAAATAACTACTCAAACTTCTCTTCTGATTTAAACAAGGTTTATAATATATTTTCAGACTTTTAAAAGCCAAGCGGTCAGTAACTGTTTTTTGAAAGAAGTTTTTGAAATAAGTGTCTTATGATCACCAAGGTTGCCTTTATTTGATCAACAATGCAATAAAAATTTTAATATTATTACAATTTAAAACAAATGTCTTCTATTTTAATGTATATTAAAATGTAAAATAAATTCCTGTGATGGCAAAGCTGCATTTACCACAGTGTCACATGATTCATCAGAAATCATTCTAATATTTGGTGCTCAAGAAACATTTCTCATTATTGTTATAAACAGTTTTGCTTTTTTTTGTAACATTGTAAAAATGTTCACTGTTACTTTTATTCACCAAGGGTATATTACATTTATCAAATAGTATTATGTTCTCTAAAAAAAAAAAGTTTATTCAAAAGGTTATCAAATAGTATTATGTTCTCTAAAAAAAAAAAGTTTATTCAAAAGTTTATTTTTCACACAGAACTGCATTTGTGAATGGCGATTTATGTGGTATTTTACCAAATCATCGTCTAAAGACTA